AGGCTTCTGCTAATTGTGCCCAAGAGGCTATGCTGCCTTCTGGGAGTTTCTCAAACCAAGTCAAGCCTAGGTCGCCAAGACTTGATGGGAAGAGTATGCACATTAAGGCCTCGTTTCGCCTGTACACAGCCATGACCTGACGAAAGTGGCTCAAGTGTGAGTAGGGGTCCGTCTTCCCTTCATATGTAGTGAATTTGGGCTGAAGGAAACCTGATGGTAGGGGCGCGTTTTCAATCGCCGGAACAAATGGTGAAGTCTGCAGTCTTGCTAATGCCTTGTCCGTTGGTTCATAGGTAGGGCGCAGTATTGGCATTCCAACCTCGACGCTTCCATGCGTTCGAGGAGCCAATCGCTGCAAGGCTGAAACTCTATGTGGATCCCTTGCCCTGGCATCCTCCTTGCATCGTGCTTTCTCTTCGAGCACGGTTCGTAAGTCGGATGATCTAGGTAATTCTGTCTGTCTAGATCTAGTTTGGTGCGAATGTGAAGGCCAATATGTGCTTCCTTCAGTGTATGACCTTTCAGATCTCGTCCTCTCAGACCTGGAGTGATGAGTTCTGGAAGACCAGGATTGAGTGTCGCCTGTCCTGAGGCTTCTGCTCTCTCCTTGCGAGGGTGTAGTGTTCCTACTACGATTTTCTGAGTAGCGAGGGGGCATCTTGTTTTTATGCCCCTCTCCTGTCGCCACTTCTTTTTTCTTCATCTGGCGTTTCAAGGCCTCCATGTCCGCCGCCATCTTCTTTATCAATTCATCTTGCTCTTTCACGCGATCTTCCAGAGCTTGAGGGTCAATCCTCCGTCTTTGCCTGTTGGGACTTTGAGAATGGGATTGACGGGGGCTGTGAGTCCGTCTCCCCCTAGCATCCCTCCTGGAGGTATGTCTTTGGGGCTCCAAGTCCGCCATAGGAGGGATAGAAGGTAATCCTTCACGCCTTGCGCCCCCTTCTAGAGTTAGTCCGTCGACGGCGGACTGCGGCAAGTCTTCAATGTGTGCCATTGATTGTAAAGGGAAGAAGCTTTAATCAAGAGGTTTTGTTCTGTCTGCTTTTCCCACAGACGGCGCCAATTGTACGGGGAAGAAATAATTCTCCTCGTATAATCCTGTTGACTAAGTCCACGCTCCTCCGTACGACGTCGCTTTGTCACCTGAAAACACAAACGTAAGCTAGCCGGCGTGTGTATGCCGGAAACCTCTCCGATGCCTAAGTCAGAAAACTTGACAAATAGACAAAGCTCAATGTATTCAAGAAGCAAGATTGTATGTTATGTTATGTTACCTCCTTCCAAGGTGATGCTTGTGAGCTTTTATAGGTTTTGTGTGGCATAATCCTAGTAGGACTTTTACTTCTCCATGCAGAGTCCTCCTAGGATTTATACTCCTAAAGGATAATGCTTATCCTTTTACACCCCCCCACTGCTTACACCAAGTGGGATGGTTTTCACCATGGCCGAACTACCTTACGACCGAGATAAACCTGGCTATGCTGAGCCACAGAGTAAGCCGAACTATCCTTAGTTCGGCCTTTCCCTTTATTCTTCCTTATCTCGGTTCTCACCTGTTCAACCCATGGTGTGTTTGGACCGAACCAATGACTCTCGACCGGTATAACTCCAAGACCGATATACCACTAAAGTCGATATAACTTCAAGACCGGTCTAACTTCAAGTTGCTCCTGGACCGAAGTACATTTACAATCCTATAACCGAAGTAACTTTATCTCTTCTTGGGCCGAAGTAACTTCTCGGCCCTTTTTACCCAGTCCTTCGTACTTTGGGCCACAAAGTTCATCTCATAGCTCGGCCCACTTTTTCACCAAAAATTACCCTCTCATGTTTTATTTTATTTTATTTTTTTTTGTTTTTTTTTTGTCTTTTTAATAATTTAAATCCCATACCATGTACTATTGATACAGTGGGCAATTCAATTTTACAATTTCCAGTGAACGTGTTCTGTAATTTTTATTTTCAAATTAACAAATGTAATAGACAGTGTACAATCTTAGAAAAAAGAAAACTAGTACAAATTACATATAAATCTATTTGTTAGTACCATGAGAAATATAGAATCTATTTTAAAATTGTTATATAAAATATGTATTTCAATAAAATAAACAGATTCATATTTAATTAAATTAATATTACAGAACAAGAAGTTATGAGACTAAATCATACAACTTGATGAACAGAAATATATAACAAAAGAAAAACACTGAAAGAAGAAAATGAAGCAAACCAAAACCTGTATGATATTACAGTCTCCTTAAAACAAATTTGCCGCCTCACCATGGGTGCTAGAGGTATGTCAGTGTCTATCTCCCAAGATACGACGATTTAGACCCCACTAAGTCAAAAGCACCTTCTGGTTAGCTCCGACGAACTGACAATAGTAACACTCTCTCACACAGAAATAATATTATAGGAGTAGACTGACTGCATAATCTTGAGAGAAAAAAATTCTGTGTGAGAGGAGGAGTCTTTCCAGCAACAAATGCAGAATTCAATTATGCAAAGCTGCTGAACTAATGCGGCAAAATTGATGGAAAATAAGTGTCTAAGTTACACACTCTATATACATATGTGTGTATATCTGCAACTACCAAACAAACCTAGTCCAAAAAAGATTAGATTGATGGGTCACTAATCCGGCCCAGTTCAAACCTAGCCCTAAGCCGTGCATGTGGAAATTTTTGCATAACCAACTTGGATCATAGTTTTGGCCAAAATCCATCCTTGAAACATCTATAACTCCCTTGTTTCGGAAAATTTGGATACCCCAATTCATGCCCTTATAAAAAACTTGGGATTTAAATACCCATAAATGATTTCCTCTGCAATCAGTGTGGGATAGGTGGTTGTATACCATTTCAATACCTCATGTATAAGGCCAACTTTATAATACAATTTCTCATTCAATTCTCAATGTTTTTTGTCATTCTTTTTGTGGTATAGAGATCTTATTACAAAGAATCTAAACGCATTTGATCTCACTTTAATCGGTAGTTGTGACCTATTTTAATTTCACATTGAAGTCACTATAAAACCATTTTTCCAATAGTTTTTACCTATCCAATGGCTTCCGACCTATCAACATCTCCAACAATATTTCTTTTTTATTTTTTTTTCTATGCTTTGTGTTGATTTTTTGATAAATTTTCTCTGATTGAGTCAAAACACATTTTATCTAATATGGTTAAAACACAGAAAAAATTGTGAGCAAACCAAAGAAATTTAGTCAAAATATAGTGAAAATTGTAAGCAAGTCAAAAGAAATTCAAAACACAGAGAAAATTTCAAAATATAGAGAAAATCAGAAAAATTGAGCAAACCAGAGAAATTTGAAGACACGGAGAATTTTGTTTGAAATTTCTTTGTGTTTTGACATTTATCTAGATCAAAATTTCTCTAAAAAAAATATTGAGAGACTCCAATTATTATGAAAATATTACATATCCTCTATTTTATAAAATCTTAATATTAGGGATCTTAAAAAAAATTTCCTTATATATATATATATATATATTGAGACATAATCGATCTTAGATGTGATTTTGTCAATTCAATATTTAGAATTTTCTTTATGCAAAAAAAAAAAAATGAAACAAAAAAGAAACTATATTTGAAGAAAAGATAGAAAACTAATATTGTTAATAATATTTTCTAAATAGAGCATTAATTTGGAAACTAATCTATATTTTTTTTTAAACTCATTTCCTTAACTTGAGTATTCTTTTTTTTTTTTTTTTTTTTTTTGCATTTCACCTTTTCATTCAAAAAAAAAAAAAAAAAAACCAAAAAATTGAATTATGGTTTTGTTTTAAGTTATATTACTCAAAAAAAAAAAAAATACTATATGCATCAATTGGTATACCAATTAGTGTACTAATAGATGATGTGACACAATGTTAGAAATTTTGGATGTTTGTAATTTGTATAATGGATGGAGTCAACAAAAATGTTATAACGTATGGTACACTAGTTGATATACTAATAGGTGTACCACCTAAAAAAAAAAAAAATTTCATGTTTAAGATGATATTCAAGATTAAGACAATATTTTTTAAAAAAAAAATTATCATTTGGTGATTTTGGCAATATTTCGTCAAACCTTTTGTTGATCACATTACTCCATATCCCACGGCTAGGAGTGTAAAAATGGCCTGTGGCCCGTAAGCGACCTGAAGCCCGCCCGCGGCTTGTTTAGGCCTAGGCCCAAGCTCAGCTCGAGACCTTGGGCCTGGGCCTGGGCTATCATTTTGAAGCCCGACCCGGCCCATCAACCCGCTCAAGACCCACTTAAAAACTCGGCCTGAGGCCCAGCCCGCCCGAGGCCCAGTATTATTTTTAATGAAAAATAATAAAATTTTAGTGGAAAAAATAAAAAAAATTGTTTAGGCCTACCCAAAGCCCGAGCCCAAGCCTAGTAACCCGGCCCAAGGCCCCGCCCACTAGCTCGCCCAAAACCTGAATACCCCTGGGCTTGGGCTTGGGCCTAGGCCTAGTTTTCTGGCACGTGAGTCAGTCCAATTTTTTACGGGAGCCCGCAAGGCTCGACATGGGTGGGACCTAGTCAAAATTACACCCCTACCCATAGCTGACTACCCTCTCACAAAGATTGGTTATTCATTTAGTTATTCACTAAAAGTCTAGCCTATGTGCCTAAACGTTGTTGAATGTTTAATTATTATTATATTTTTGACAATCAATTATATTTATTTATTTATTTTTTACAAATATTTTAATAAAAATATTAGTGTGTATAGAATTATACATTTAATTATGATGGAACTCTTATCATATCCTTCGTGGGCAAGTTTAAACATAGATTATTGTTATTCAAGACAAAAAAAAAAAAAAAAAAAATCAAATAAGTAATATATGTAGATGCAAATTCTTGACCAATTCCCACTTCCCCAACGAAGCCTAAAAGAACAAATATTGTTTTGTATTATGATGATGACATCCATAGGAAAAACTACTTCACAACAATTGGACTGAAAAAGGAATTGATGGAGAACAGAGCATAACTTTCCAGTTAAGCACATGACCTACTACTTAAATCTATCCTATTGAGGCACAACCTTGCACTTTCAATAAGTGGAAAATGTTATATATAAATAAATTTTTACAAATTTCCTTACTACTAGATGTTAATGTTAAAGGATTGTGTTATTTATCTTCAGATGTTTTTCAGCACCCATTATGCTGGGGACAATCTGACAATAAAATTGCGAGATGGCGAGCCATGGAAGAAGGTGTTTGGCCCTGTTTTGATCTATCTAAACTCAGTTTCAGTCGAAGAGGATGCCCTAACACTTTGGGAAGATGCCAAAGAACAGGTACTACTTTGGGCATGAAATTTTTGACAACATAAAATCTAATCAGTACAAACAAAATTAACAATCTCATCTCATATGCATATATTCAGATGTTGATAGAAACCCAAAGCTGGCCATATGATTTCCCTCTTTCAGAAGACTTCCCTCATGCTGATCAACGGGGTACAGTTAGTGGCCGATTACTAGTCCGTGACAAGTAACTACCTCTACTAGCTCAACTACACTATCTTCTTCATCATTATCAAGTGTATAATGATATTGAATCTGACATAAATTTTTTGTTTTAGGTACATTAATGAACAACTTATGACCACGAACTTTGCTTTTGTGGGGTTGGTTGCACTAGGAAATGTTGGATCATGGCAAAGAGAAAACAAGGTTTTTTTTGTTTTTGTTTTGTTGCTTTCATATATTTTTAGTCAACAAACTACGAAATATTGTTGCTTTCATACAAACCTTTCCTAATTTGGAAATTATCAATTAGACACTCTCTCTCTCTCTCTTCGTTCCTCTTACTGCTGCTTGTAGGCACTTCTCTGTGGAGATTTTAGCCTTTATGCTGAATTAAGATCAAGCAGAAATGATTAATGTTCCTATTTTGGTTTCCTGAATTAACTTTTTAGTTTATTCATATGCATCAGCGGTTTTTGGATTAATTTGTGTTTTCATTTTTCAGGTCAAAATTTTTTTGGAGAGATGCAAAATATGGTCCAAGAATTAAAGAACTTAGCTTTTAAGTTTTTTCATTTTTTAATATATGTAAGCACAGTTAATTTTTTTTTTATTTAATTCTTTTGTATATACTTTTAAATATTTAATTTTCATTTATGAAATATATGACGTTGTTCTATTCAATATGTGGTTATATTCAAAATATAGTATATAGTGTGTATTACATTCTTCAAATGTGCATACAAAAATAATATTGTTTATTTTTCAAATATGTCGAATCTTTTTTTTATCACAGATTTTATTAGTTATTAATCACACTTAAAAGATGTGATGTAAATATTTTTAATCACACTTAAAAGATGTGATCAAAATATTTTTAATCACACTTAAAAATTTTGAATTGGTGAAAGGTGAATTCCTCTAGATATAAAATTCTTTCTCAAGTTGCCTGGGATATTTTGGCCATTCCCGTATCCACTGTTGCCTTAGAGGCTGCCTTTAGTATAGGAGGTCGTGTCATTGACCAATTTCGTAGTTCTCTTACTCCCAAGCTTGTAGAATGCTTAATTTGTTTGCAGGATTGGTTGCATGCTTCGCCACTCCCATTTGAAGTAGAAGAAAATATTGCGGACATTGAAGAACTCGAACAAGGCAATATTGATTTGGTATTTTGTTATGAAATTTATTTTCATGTATTATGTACTTCATTTTAAATTAATGTTATCATTTTTTGCAATTTCAGCTCTAAATGTTGTGTCTCTGAATGTGATTACTGACTAATGGAGGATGATTTGGCTCTTGGAAAGTGAGAAAAGACCACTGTTGCTGGTTTTGTTGCTGGGCTGCTAATGTTGCCAGTTACTGTTAATGTTGCTGGTTGCTATTAATGTTTCCATTTTGTTGCTGCTGGAAACTTGGAATGCTCTCTTTTGGAAACTTAGGAATACTATCTTTTGGCTGCTGTATTTGCATCCATATTGTTTAACTTGTCTTATGTTTTTGTTGTTTTTTATTTGAAAAAGTTTCTATTGACTGTTTACAATGTTTAGAATGTTTTTAAATGCTTTTGGATGATTTCAAATTTTAATGGTATGTAATGGTTATTATCATATCAAGTTTTATTTTTATTAATTGATTTTTTGTAATTTTAATGATATTAGGATGATATAGATATATGTAATGTTGAGTAATATCTTAATATTATTAGTTTTTATCATGAGTTAAATGTAATCAGTTTGAGTAATTATTTTATTAATATTAATAATTTATTCTTGTAAATAGAAATTTTTAGAACGTTATTTTGGTTTGGTTCTGATCCGGTTTTACAAGTGTAATGGTCTAGTCTAGTTCTCAAAATCACAGAACCGTTAGGATCGGTCCGGTTCTTGAATTTTCTCAGAACCGAACCATCCGGACCCTGTGTACACCCATATCCCTAATATATAGAAAGTGTTTTAATTTAGTCTTCCAATCTAATTCCGTTAAGAAAAAATGACCGGTGATATGTGGCATTAATGTAGAAATTCATGTAATTTCAGTTTGATTTCTAAAGTTACACATTTAATTATCCTTAATTTTAATGATGTCAATTGATAGAGTTTGGTTGGAGGACCAAATTAAAACACATTTTATACATTGGGAATAAATTAACACAATTAAATATTGAGATCTAAAATGCCACAAATCTCATATTTTGAGTACCAAAAATATAATAAACCCTAATGAAATCCATGTGAATTTTTTTAAAAACCAAATTAAAACACATTTTATACGTTGGGACTAACTTAATACAATTTAGATATTGAGTTCTAAAATAACACAAATCTCATATTTTGATAACCCAAAAAGTATTTAACCCTAATGAAAAAAAGGGGATGAAGAGATACAACAGCTTCAAGCAAGCAACGCACCCTGCTTCAAAACAACACAAGTCCCATGGTTGTGCCACATGATTAACAAAATATAGTATTAGAATATGATAAGTATAATATATTTTTATATATAATAATACTTACCAATAATACATTCATTTTATTTAAAAATAATGTTAAGATGATTGTATTTTTTTTAATCATTCTTGTTTACTTTTATGTAACACTTTCAAAATTATTATAATTGATGGAGTTCATGTAAAACCTAGTATATCAATGGCTGCATATGTGTTACATTTTTAGGGGGGGGCAATTCTTGTGAAAAGCAAAAAATTATTTCTTCCTTATTTTGGAATTTTTTTGTTGTTGTATTGAGTTATTTATTTTTCCACTCATTCTAGGCTATAATTTTTCAATTTCACAGGGAGAACGAATGGCGTGGGAAACAATCGAGTCTAAAAAGATTTGTGGTAATGTAGCTTGAATTATCATAGAATAGAATAAAAGGTTGGATTAACCCCCCAAAATTTGATCCCAAAAATGGATTTTTCATAAAATTTCCGGGTATGTTTGATATAATTTTTTTTTCATATTTATAATTATTCTCCTAGACAATATGAAAGAAATTTAAAAACAAGTAATAGAGAAATATGTTGTAAAGAAATGGTTATTCTACTAATATTGTTCTCCGTTATAAGCCTTCCAATTAGGGATGATAATTTGCCCCACTTCCGCATCCCTTCAATTCATGAAGGGTTTTTCTCGTTTTTCTCGCTCGGATTATAATAAATAAATAACTTTTATATGTATATATAAATATAATAAGAGTAAAATATTAAAATATTTATATATATATATATATATATATATCTCGATTTTTATTTCTTTATCTCTCATTTTTAATATCTTTAACTTTTATTACTCATTAATATTTATTTATTTTTTATTATATTATTTTATTATGGGAGTTTTTTTGATAAATCCTTTTTCTAAGAGACTTATTCCATCCAGCCCATATTCTTTTTGACTATTCCATTAGGTCCTATTTGAGGTAAGAAGACCAAAATATCATTTTCATCTACTTATGTTCCATTTAGTCCACATTATTTTCTTATGTTTTAATAAGTCATATGGGTGACATAATTATCAAAATACCCCTAATGTGAATGTTCACACTGTTAATGTAAATGTTCACACCGTCAATGTGAATGTTCATATCATCAATGTGTAGGGGCTCAGCCCAGCCCAGGCCAAAATTTTATTATTTTTCACAAAAAAGACACCGGGACTCTGGCGGGCCGGGTCTCGGGCCGAGCCTTAAATGGGCCTTATGCGGGACGAGATTCAAAGTAATAGCCCAAGTCCTAGCCCAAGTTTTCGGGCTGGTATCGAGCCCGGGCCCAAACGAGCTTGCCCCGGGCCGCGGGAGGGATTCAGGTGGCCCACGAGCCGCGGGCCAATTTTACACTCTTGTCAATGTGAATATTAACATGTCAATGTGAATATTTACATTATCAACAGGTCGAACCCGCTCCGGACCGTGGCCCAATTTTACACTCCTATCAATGTTAATGTTAACATGTCAATGTGAATATTCACATTGTAAACGGGCCGGACCGAGCCCGCGGGCGGGCTTCGGACCGCCTACGGGCTGCGGGTCAATTTTACACTCCTATCAACGTGAATGTTAATATGTTAATGTGAATATTCACATTGTCAATGGACCGGGCCGGGCCAGGCCCGCCCTAGGCAGGCTACGGGCCACGAGCGGGTTTCGGACCACCCACGAGCCGCGGGCCAATTTTACACTTCAATCAATGTGAATGTTAACATCTTAATGTGAATATTCACATTGTCAACAGACCGGGCCCGTCCCGGCCCGGAGGCGATCTTTGGACCACCCACGAGCCATGGGCCAATTTTACATTCTTACTAATGTGAATGTTAAAATATGAGTATTTACAGCCCGCCCCGCCCCGGGCAACAGGCGGGCTTCGGGCCACCCCGGGCCGCGGGCCAATTTTACATTCCTAAAATGTGAATGTTAACATGTCAATATGAATATTCACATTGTAAACGGGGCGGAACAAGCCGGGCCCGCAGGCGGGTTTCGGGCCACCTACGGGCCGCGGGTCAATTTTACACTCCTGTCAACGTGAATATTAATATGTTAATGTAAATATTCACATTTTCAACGGACTGGGCCGGACCGGGCCCGCCCCGGGCAGCCCATGGGCCACGGGCGGGTTTCGGGCCGCCCACGGGCCGCGGGCCAATTTTACACTTCTATCAATGTGAATGTTAACATGTCAATGTGAATATTCACATTGACAACAGATCGGGCCTGCCCCGGCCCGGGAGCGATCTTCGGACCGCCCACGGGCTACGGGCCAATTTTACATTCTTAACAAATGTGAATGTCAAAATATGAATATTTACAGCTCGCCCCGCCCCAGGCAACGGGCGAGCTTCGGGTCACCCATGGGCCGCGGGCCAATTTTACACTCCTATCAATGTGAATGTTAACATATGAATGTAAATATTCACATTGTAAACGGGCAGGGCCAGGCCAAGCCCGCTGGTGGGTTTCGGGCCACCTACGGGCCGCGGGTCAATTTTACACTCCTATCAACGTGAATGTTAATATGTTAATGTGACTATTCACTTTATCAATGGGCCGGGCCCGCCCCACCCCGGGCAGCCCACGGGCCACAGGCGGGTTTCGGGCCACCCACGGGCCGCGGGCCAATTTTACACTTCTATCAATGTGAATGTTAACATGTCAATGTGAATATTCACATTGTCAACGGACCGAACCCGCCCCGTCCCGGGACGATTTTCAGACCGCCCACGGGCCACGGGCCAATTTTACATTCTTACCAATGAGAATGTTAAAATATGAATATTTACATCATAAAATTA